AGCTTTTTCTAGTGTCAAAGTAGCGCCGACTGATCAGATGGCACTCCTAGAATGTACGGCTGATAGATAACTAAATAGTATATTCCCTAATATTCACGGGGCACACCAGTAAAGGCATGATCAATTGGTATCAATCGCTTTGAGTCGAACACAGCTTCTGTGCCAGTGCTGCACGTTTCACCGTACGATTTGTGGCTTCACAGTTCCACCTGGTTCTCAGTTTCAGCAATCACCTGCTCGATGTGGTCCATCAATTTGCGTATCTGTGTATCCGCGCCACTCCTGGCGGTTGCATCGCCCCTTAGATTACTGTATACATCGACACGTCCCGTGTGGCATTTCAAAATCTTAACCATCAGCGAGCGCGGTGAGATATCAGTTCATGGACCAAGAGTCGGGTGTTCAATGTGTCACTTCACGAATCAGAACATGCCAACTGTGTACCGAGAGCATTACGCTTTTGGCCACGTTTGGGCACCGGCGTCTACGAATCATTTCTCAAGTAGTACGACTGGTCGTTACCTGGTGTTTGACAGCAGACCCTCTGGAGTTTTCCTTAAACTAATGTCGCCTTCCCTGTATAGATGTTACTCTCTGCTTGTGTGCAAACCGGCTACTGTACTGGACCCCGGTCGATCTCTAATCCCATCGCTTCCCACCTTTTTCAAATTTTGGATTTTTAATCTCCTCTCTGTACCTTCTGTGCAGTGAGGCGACTACTGTTCTGTGCAAAATTCGGACTCAACCTCGTTATCATGTGTCATTTACTCTGCCAACTATTTGTGGCACCAACCACTCGTCTGGCTATTATTTTTGTCGCATATGGCTCCTCGCATTTGACATCATCGTCCGATGGTATCATCAATGTGCTTGGGCGATTTCCGATATTTTGGATACTAGTGAAGGATAATATTTTTTCCTCCATCTCTCAGCCGGAACCCTTCTTCGTCACCATGTTCCTTGTGAACACAGCTGACGGTCGTCGTGTTAGTGAAGACTTCCACTGGAATCCCAACACCCCCTTGGTGGACGCCATGATTCCTCCCGAACTGTTTCGCCAGTTAGCGTGGACAAACGCCAGCGTCCAACTCGATGCAAAGAACTGCAGTGTTGAAGTGAAATCGTTTGTCAACACGCCTCACTCTCCGACAGATCGAACGAGGGTTCAGCGGCCTCATCGTGGTTCTGCTCCTGCCCCACCATTCTCCACTATTTCACTAATTCGGACTCCTTTGGGCGTTCAGACAACACTGGAAACCAGTCTGTGGAATCATTGTCGTTCGGTTAGTCAGCCCGTCTCTTCCCGTTAATTTCCTAGCGGCACTTTTGTTACTTTCCACACCTGTCTCGCCATCCTTCATCGATCCAACTTTCCCTCTTTTATTTATTATTCAAATGCTGACCATCGGTCTTCCTTGCTCGCCCGGCAACAATATGCTAGGTGTGTGTTGATCCCGATAAAGGTCACTGCCTTCACGGTCACTTGGATGGCAGTCAACATTGCTAAGGTTGGCTGTCGACGCACCAGTCTGCGTATCCGACTGTGCATAGACAGTCGGGTATCGTATACCCCGTTCATCGAGATAGACTTGCCTCCCCACATTAGTACACTGTTATCACCTTCGCTCGTACTGCCTGTGGTGATCGAACCGGAACCCTGATTTTTTCGCAAATTTACATTGTTACATGGTCTAGCTCAGCTTAACGATTACACCACAACATTATTACGTTTGTATCCAGTATATATTCGACATTTATTGAGTTGCACGCATGTGCGACATAATCCGAAATGGGTCCAAGATGAGGGTAACATTTGGTGCACACGTCGACAAATCGCCACCGTCGTGTGCACACTGAACTTCACGCTATTGTGGGGGGTTTGCGCGAGCTCTAGCCCACTGGAAAATATAGTTTTCAACAGTACAGTGGTACCCCTTACGAATGTTTCGGAGCTATGCAGCAACCAATGAATGTACGCGGACCGTGATACTACAAGAGGTACGGCCTCATGCACGAGTAGGGATCCAATGCCAGAAACCAAAAACCCGAACCAAGAGCCCCCTGCGTTTCCTTGAACTGCATTTTTCACGCGACCCATGTGCCTTTGCATCCACAAATACTAAACAATCAATTAACTTTTTTCCGAACAATACGAGGCGCATCTGCATAGGCATAGTCATAGTAAAACAAAATAAATAACTTTTTATTCTCGACTAAGCGAAGCACATCTGCACTGGTATTATCCTGGTAAGAGTGCAACAACTGATCAACGAATGTCCAATAGGATTATCATAAGATTGTCATATATGTTGCTACCTAAATCTATGAATGTGTGCGTACACACTTGTGTTGCTGCATTGCTTGGTTTTGTAAATGTTTTGCTACACCTTTGCGTGTTTGAACGTGTCAGTGCTATAGATGTTTGACGTTTGTATATTTGAAACGATTGTACGGATTAGCAATGGCGGTGACTTTAGTTGGTGTTGAGGCACAACCGCCACTTCACAGTGTTGTTAAACGGACATTTGTGGCTTTTTATAGGGCGAACTCTTGTCACAGTTAGAGCGTCTCGGCTCCCTGGTTGGGGTCCGGAAGACGACGAACACATCTGGCTGGATACGCTTGCTGACATGGCTGGGCACCGACCTCAATAGCGTTTGTGTTGTAAATTTCTTTGTCCCTCCCCCTTCCACTTGGCCTCCCATCCCTTTGCTGATGCCTTCTTTCCAACCACGATCTCATTTGTTCTGCGTAATATACGTATTTTTTACGGCACGATAGCCGGCTGTTCCCTCTCCGGAACGATGTTCATTCGTTACTGGCGACTCATTTGGCATATCTTTGTTGCATTTTTTCTTTTCTTTTGTGTTGCGGCACAACAGCTGAGATGTTTTTCACATGCAGCTACCGTGAATAATAATCCGTAATAATACTAACCCTCTAAAGCTCTCGACAGGACGCCTTCAATTGCAACATTGTTTGAACGGGTACAAAGAGCAGTCCTGTTGTGCACTCTTATTGACAGCGAAGGACCACGAAAGCCTGGAATATACCCTCACTCGGTGGAGGGTTTCCGAAATACAGTGTGCGTAAGATGACGGTGTACATTTCTGTGACACTGTTTCTTAGCAAAAAACGCTATGGTTCAGGTCGATCAACGACGTCGAATGCCACACAGTTGTCCAGCAATGCAACGATGGTAGGCCTCTAGGAAAGGTGGCGATGTTCCAGAATTTGACGGAGTTTGAATATCTGATCTATACACCTGCGGCCAGGTCGGAAGCTAGCTTGTTCTTCGCGGTACTTTGATTCACCAATAGTAGATAGTCTATGAAGCAGAATGGATGCCAATAACTTGGACACAGCCGAAATGAGACTGATCCACCGGTGCTTAACGCATAAGGTCCGAGCACCCTACTTAAACTTTAGGACAATAACTATCTCGTCCCAAGAAGAAGGTACTTTTTCTTCATGCCAGACTTTAGAGAACAATTAGGTTAGCTGGCTAATGATAACTGAACCTTCATACTTGAACCGCTCCGGAAGAAGTCCGTCTGAGCCGGCAACATTGCATCGTCTCAAGTGTCCAATCGCAAGATACATTTCTGCCTCACTGTGTGTATCAAGGGTGACAACGCAGGGGAGGTCGCTGGGTTCGCAGGGCATACAACTGGACGGTGGGGGCCAATTGAATTGGGCCCATCGATCCAAGCGTCTCTGTTAGTTGGCAATCAGTGAACCATCCGCTTCACAAATAGTCTCACTGACACCAGGCTTTTTGTATCCATTGGATCTAATAAACTGGAAAAGCTTGCGAGTATTGCCAGGGAGTGTGGCGGCCTCCGTTTCCAAAGCACGCTGAGACCACCAGGCTTCGCGGTCACTGCGTTGTTTGAGCTGCCGACAGACAGGACGGCGCACTTCGTTATGATTAGAGTCCGCCGGGATATTTCTGTGGTAGTCAAAGAGTGTTGAGTATGGCCACACTGACTGCCAGGAAGAGGTCATTGTCCTCTGTGTGAACGTCCAGTGTTCATCAACATCTTGCGGTGCAGCTGAGTGTATCGGCCGAGGGAATAGATAATTTATTTCTATCTAATAGTGCTTCTTTTTTCGGTGACCCTCCGAAACTCATGCAGATGTTCGCACAAACAAAAGCATGCTCTGAATCGCAATTGTGAACCAGTTGGATCTGTAATCCTTTAAACTACCCCGCCATCTGTAACTAATTGTGATGTGGTCAATCTGAAACCATGACTGCGCTCCAAGTGACGGAAGGTCTCATCGAATACCTGAAGCTGGTGCTCGAATGATACAGACGATTGTCTTCAAGCAATGTGAGAAGTCTATTTACATTATTTAAGCGGCACTCATTCAGCGCATGATGACCACCGAGATGAATTTCACATGATAATCGATGACCAACCCGTGCGTTGAGATCACAAGTCAATCACAATACTGAGATCTTGCAATCGGGTCCCGGAAAAACAGCAAACATCGATGGTGAGGGATTCCAAGGTGCACGCAACACCAGCCTGTTGCCCGATCTGCATGAGCGTACGTGCATTAAAGCATGCCAGTCGGAACGAGGATCGTGGCCGGAGGGCCACTGGGTGAGCTCTGTGGTCGTCAAGGAAGCCATCTGGTGTAACGGATAAAAATGATTGGTAACAAATCAGCGGGTTGCGTGTGATGTGTGAGCAGCGGAAGCAAATGTAGTTAAGCGCAGTATAGCAGAACGGCCTATGGTTTTGTCAGTGGGCATGATACTACGCGGTTGCGCAAGCCGAAGTGGGGAGTTGTCTTAGAGGACACCACTCCGACCTTTTAGCTAAATAACCTACCCACAAGGCAGCGGAACGCATTCGGAGGATCACGGCCATTGGGAGCCGGTGATCGATCACTCAGTTCATAAGTCTTTCGCTTGGTTCAATCCTCCCCTTGATGTAAGCACATACTTGTTGAAATACAATGCTCCACCGAAGTGAAACAAGGGGCAGTGGCTTTATTTAGTGGCGAGTGACATCCGCCACGTCACCGTGTTGTTAAATAGGCATATATGACCTTTTTACAGAGAGAGAGCGCTTGCCAGGCGAAAATGTGCTACGTCCTGGAATACTACCACCAAACTATTTGCTGGAATGGGTTAAACCCGAGGCAACCAGGTGGCATCGCAAGAAGCTAGCTAGTCAAACCAGCCGAAGCTCATCTTTCCCTGTCATATGCATCCCTAACTTGGTTGAGTTATCTTATCCACTGACTCGAAAGTGTTAGGTGGCCTGTTTTAGCCTATCGCCTTGCAGCGAAATGCATACCACTTACAAATCTCGAAAGAACGGGTCCGTCGTCCAGTGTTACTCTGTAGTGGATTAGATAAGACTAGTGCTACACTTTTTCTCTTCTTCAGCCCATATCTGTGCGCGCTTTCCTCTTCTTTCTATTTTCCACAGGCTCTTTTCTCTATTCCCACGAGCATCCCTTCTCCCGCCTCAGTCTATCTTGTCGTGCGTGTAGACAAAGTGCTCAACGGTAGCACGGGGGCTGCAGTGGAAAAGTATTTGAAAGCAGTGAACACGAGTAGTGCCAGTGCTTTGTTCGTCGATGACAAGACAACGGGCGAAACTGAGAGCAAGTCATCCTCCGCCATCCATCGTTCCATGCTCACCTACTGTCGACATTTGGGACGCTATCGTATGCCGTTTGCTTGGGGCGCCAGGTTGGTTCATTGACATTTCGCTCTTCTGAACATTATTTTGCTGTTGGTTGTTTTTTACTCTTCAATCTGTACTTCCTTCTTCATATCCAGACCGTAGCTCGTTAGGTCGCCGCATTGGCGCCTAGCTTCACAACCCGGTGGTGCTCGTTCGGGAATTAGTTGCTTGTGCGGGACCCTGTGGCTGAACTGTACTCACTGTGATCCAACTCACCTGGAGGTCCACTGGCTAGTGCTTGATGTGCTTTATTTCCTCTTCCCGCGAAACAAGTAGATCCTGAGACCAGTCAATGATGTTTCCTCGCAGCCAGTCATTACTCACGCATCCGAAAAGCACTAGACGGCCGTCTCGCCATATTGGGATTCATCTGTAGTGCGCCTCCTCGGCCTCACTGGGAACCGAACTTCTGGCCTTCCGAAGCCAGCTGCTTATGCCACTAGGTCATGCATGACAATCGTAGATTATCATGACTGACAACTACGCCGCCACATAGTCAACTCAAGACAAAATAGGCTCCATGCACCTGCGTAGATACATTTTCAGCATTTACACTATGAATTCGAATTGAGGAATACATGAAATTAATGGATAAAAGTAAATAAAATTCCGAATGCAAAACAACTGCGCATCATACTGCTGAGTTGCTTTAGGTCCACAAGTACGGTAGGACAAAAGTGTAGTGCGAAGGCATACAATCAAATAGGACACTACATTTAGAACGTGTAGACGAAGAAACAAACAGCACTTTCGATAGAGCTCCATGTAGTGGGTGGAAAGAGTCGTTTAGAACTTTGAAGGAAAAACTAGTGCAAGCGTCTATCGGCTTGTTGACAATAAAATCAACAAGCTCCTCTCCATACACTCCAGCTGCATCTGGAAATAAGTTAACAAATCCAAAACAATGTATACTCTTTTTTGAGTATCACAGGAAAAGTTACTCTAGCAGAATGGATGTGGTTACAAATTTCAAGTTCAACTCACAAAGTACCACAGGCATTTTAAATCTGAGAACATAAAAGGACAGCTTTCTAACCTTGTAAAACGTTTCGCCGACATGGGTAGATCAATGTATAGGTTTCGGGATTAAACGACCTCAGTTGATGTCCTGGGTAATGAAGCAGTAGCATTCCAAATATCTTGCAGCTTATCAGCCCCGAAAGAAAAGGGAATGTTACACCAAGACATTTAACATTGCTCAGAATGAGAGACTGCGACGATGACCGCAGTACAAACTCATCTAGACCACCCTGAAGGGTAGATGTCTCAACCATTGGAGCTGTACATCTCAAAACGACATCATCCGTATACTTGCATCCAATAAAGTTGGACGGTATAGGAAGGTTTACAATAAAACCAGTAAGATAGAGAGAATCACTCCTTGTATGATACCACGTTCGTGGCAAACTGTAGTGGATTTTGTTCCTTTCAGATGGGTTAAGTGGGTTGGGTTTGTAAAATAGCCTCTAAGCACGCTGCAGACATTTGTATGAACCCCACTCGTGATAAGCTGGTTATTGAACAAGATAGATCTATTTACGCTCCAAAAAGCATTTGAATTATCGAAAAACAACAGGCACACTGCTCTGCATTTTTCATCCAGTGCCGATGATACCGAATGTATAAGGTACGATACAGCATCGTGTGTGGAGCGGTTGGCTCCATAGACAATATGGTCTACATCGTCTGTTTGGGTGCGTGTGAAGGTCTGAGGGACAAGGAGTTTCTCGAAGACTTTGAACATCACCAACGTGCGTGCAGTCTGAGGATAGTTTTGCGACGCCTTCTTGAGCGCATGCGTTATGCTTACAGCTCTCCAAATGTCAGGGATTGTTCTACTCACAACATAGCGGTTGAACAGTGCGCTTAGGAGTGCCGCGAGATAATCCACTCACTATTTTAGAACTAGTGGGGATAAAGCATCAGGTCCAGCAGCCTTAGTAGGCTTCATATTTCTGAGTTCCTTGTAAACATCCAAGTGATCCAGGGTGACTGTGGCAAAGATATTGATGAAGGAACGCAGATTATCCTCCACTATCACTAAGTTTCCCGAGCACAGGGTTCGACACTGAAGCCACTACTCCTTTAGATTGCGTCATTATCAATTCCACTTCGGTAGTCGGCTTAGCTCAATTAATTCGCTAAGCTTCTCGAGATGCATACCTGTCATGTCATAAGCAATACCAACATCCCCCGCGCATCGACGATTTTTTGCCGCACCTTTTAATACCCAAGCGATTACACGGAGTTTCCTCTATGTCACATTAGCTGACGTGTGTTTCTCACTCTCAGCTATCGTGTATGAATGATGATGATGATGACGACGACGATGATAATGATGATCATGGTGATGGTGATGATGTCATTTTGATGCATGTGATCATCTCAACGCGCTGTGTCGTTTAACAGGCTGGTTACTTGCTCACGTCTGGTAGCTAGGAATCAAATGACACCCAATGAAGTTTGGAGACAACGTGAGTCCAGCGCCCCCTCGCAACGAGACTCGATCTTAACGTGGTGCGACGGTTTGCGTACCTCATTGACCCATTGAGCTATACTGCGTGGTGCCTCCGGTCACCTTCGGAGCTGCTCTTACCAGGTCGGTCAATAGTGAGAGGTCACACAAACTCAGTCTCCTGGTCCTCCAGGTTGGGGGTTTGAAATGAGATGGCGTCCATTTCTGTAAAACTAAATCATTGTCACCTCCCCTCTGTCTTGCGGACAGACTGATGAGCCAAAGGCTTGGGATGAGGACCCAAATCGTCCTCCTGCCTCGATCTGGACGCCCTGGCAGTATCTCAGCCCACATACAACCATGACATTTTCTTAAAACGTAAACTTTATCCTGCATCGGCCGTCGCGCAGATTATCAAGGGTCGACTTATCTGCTGTATACAGCAGGGTAGATAAGCGAAAACATGCTACTGCTGGCGTCTCTCTTCTTTCTTTTCCACCTGTTTCTCTTACACCAATCGTGACCTCCATTACTACCCTTCCTTCTATAATTCCCAGCTCAATTGACAGCAACTGAGGTGCCAGTGGTGTAGAACCATCTGCAGCCACCTTATCGCGACTCCCACCGGACGCCAAGCGGCAACATTCTCTTAGAAGGCCACGCTGTTCCGTTTCCCTGGCGATGTTCAACGTTAGCTCTAAGACAATTAGGTCAACCGGCTGCACTCACACGCACCTTGGACACGCTGGTTATTGATGTGTGTTGTGTGTCCGAAACTAGGAGCAATGACCCTAATAGGGTTGTTGAATTAACTGTACCCGGCTTGTCCTCTCGTTATTGGTTGCACTCATCCGGAGACGCTGATGTAGTACTCAGGGGTCAAGCTGGTGTAGGTATCATTCTAAGCTCCAAGAGTGAACCATCGTTGGTTCATTGCATTCCGGTGTACAGCCGTGTATGTGCAGCCCGTTTGACGAGATCAGCGAAGGTTGACTCACGCTGTTTGTTTGTGATTTCCTTTTTATGCTCCCACCGACTGCAGTTCTAATGCTGTCAAGGACACATTCTATCACGAACTGAACGTGCTACTACGCAGTGCTACTAGTTCAGATATTATAGTACTTGCAGGGGATATGAACTCACAAGTAGGGCGTCTGAGCTCTTCAGTAGCTCAATTGGGTAGGATTTATGGGCTTTACTCTGAATAGACTGTCAACGGCGAGCCCTTAATCGTTTTCGTGCCGCTGGCCCGGATTCCCTCCCACCTGCAATATTTAAGGATGGAGGTGAAGCCCTCTGCAAAGCACTGACCTCCTTATTCGAGTGTATCTGGAAGGAAGTGTGTCCCGGCTGATTGGAGTGAATCGATTATAGTGACAATATAAAAGAAGGGCAGTCGCACATACTATTCTAACCACAGGGGTATTAGCCTAACGCAAGTTGTGACAAAATTACTGGCCTCGATTATCGTTCGTCGCCTCACTGCTGAACGGGAAGCTCGGATTAGGGAAGAGCAGGCAAGTTTCCGCCATGCACTTGGCTGTGTACACCATATATTCGCTTTACGGCAGGTGCTAGAGCAGCGCCACGCATACTGCAGACCGACAATAGCTGTTTTCCTCGATTTCAAGTGTGCGTTTCGATTAAGTCGATCCATCAGTTCTGTTCGACATAATTGCGCTTAAAGGTGTTCCCTTGAAATATGTGTATATCCTAGGTGCTGTATACTCGAACACTACAGGCCGCATCAGGGTCTATGGTGACCTATCTGATAGCTTTCCGACCACAAGTGGCGTTCGTCAGGATTGTCCGCTTTCCCCGTTTTTGTTCAATTTCGTCGTGGATTCTATCATGGAGTGTTCGTTTGCGGAATATCACGATGTAGGTGTTGAAGTGCTGCCTGGTGAACGGTTAGTTGATCTAGATTATGCGGACGATATCGTCTTGCTTCTCGACGATGTCTAAAGTGGTCTTATTATTTGGTATGCGCTCCGCACCTTCATAGTGCAAAGTGTTGCTGCAGGACCACCAGCCACTTGATGACTGCTTGTCCCTTGCTAACGAGGAACACAATTTGGTCGATCAATTCACTTCTCTTGGCAGCTGCATCAGCAACGATTTGCACATAGAAACCGAAGTCATTTTACGCACTGCTAAGCCGGGAACTGCCTTCTTGAACCTGAGGCATCTTTGGCGACAGAAGGGAGTTTCCCTCCGTCTGAACTGCCGTGTATACAAGGCCACAGTGAGGGCCGCTCCGCTATATGCGAGTGAGACTTGGCCCCCTTCGGTCTGAAGCTCTGTGGCGCCTTAAAGTCTGTACTCATCGTTGTCTGCGTAGCATAGCTTGTGCCGGATGGCACCAGTGTGTCTGCAACGATGATGTGCGTAGGCGAGTTCTATGTGGTGATAATGATGCTATATCCCTAGAACAACAGATAGCACTGAATAAGTTGCGTTGGCTCGGTCACGTGCTACGTATGCCTGGTCACCGCTTACCTAGGAGGGCCTTGTTTAGTCTGCCGGGTGTAGGGTGGCCCATGACTCGAGGCGGACAAACTGACTCGGCAGCAGGAAATGAAGTCACTGACGACCAAACTGAGTGCCGGTGGTCCGTCTCGCCTTCCGGGCTGGAGTCCACGTGACTCGCCTTGTGCTTGATTCGAGACTTTACAGGACATGGCTAGCAACCGACACGAGTGGCGCCTCTGCTGTCGTCTCCTAGTCGGATTGCCTGTTTAAAGGATGTTTGGTGTTGAGTTATCTGCGGGGTAATGGCTGATTATGACGCGTGGCAGTGAAAGCCGCAAGGATGCTGTCTCGCCAATGCCGCCTTATCTTTGCACGATATCCAGCTGTTTGTGACGTTATGTTGTTAACACAATGTGCAGGTGCCTTTTTTTCCCACCTCTAGCTGATGTGTATAATGATGATGATGATGATGAAATGCAGGTGCCTTGACACTGTATGTTTGCTTAGGGCATTAAGGTTTTCAGGTTCTCACCCTCTTATTATTCTTTATTCCGTAGGTCATCATGATTGTATGACAGCAGAGTGTCAGTTTAAATGGCTGGTGTACTGCTGTTGTTTATGATAATGATTATGATGCGTCCAGCGCCATTGTGTCGATGGACAGTGTTCCGACGTACGCCGATCGAACCACCTTCACACCTTCGTTAACCGCTCCGATGTGCATGCATCGCTTACAGATGGAGCGCCCACCTGTATAATTGCAGTGGACGTTCACCTATTTTTTGCCAAAGGAACATGGTAAACCAGACCTAGACGTGGCCCGCAAAACAGCTAAATGCGCCGTTTTTTTCCGTAGATTAGTAAGGTTAACGATGTCCATTACAGTCCTCGGGTCCCATTTGTTCCACGTCTCTCATCATATTACATCTGGTCTCATGTCGAATAATCCATGGCGACGGGATCCACTGTGATCCATCAGTCCATTCATCTTCACTAAACTGTGTTCGCTTGGAATGTAACGTTTTCATGGTCACTCGCTTTTCGCATTGCACTTCGTTGTCTGGTTTTGTCCTTCACGAAACTCTTCGAATGGAGATAGCGGGGCCGAGAGTGGTACCCGAGACGTACTGATAACGGCTAACGCCTTGATCACTGAGAAACTGAACTCCGAAAGCACATTGTGGTTGCATGTAAAAATCCAGACACGGCGAGTATCCCCAAAAACCCAACATTGGATTCTCGATTGTTGCGTCTAGTGTTACCCCCGATGGGCTCCGTGGTCTAGTGATCAACACGTCACCAGTTAGTCCCTCTACTTGTTGAATCCGATAGAGGATGCAACCGTTCGGGGAATGCGATGTTAAGGCGAGCAACACTGAAACTCTCCGCTTCCGATATGGTACCTTTGATCTGAATGGTTGGGGGTTATTTCAATGTACACCTCGATCTCAATCCATATTGCGCGTCACACGCGATGGATGTTTCAAAACCCCACGTTGACTTCAATTGAGTTCAGTGCAGTGGACATGCACATTTTGGAACTGGGGTACTGGCACAAATCCTCTTTCACCGCTATCATGGCTAAACTTGATCACCCCGTTACCTGACATAACAACCATGCCTGTGTTTCGGTCTGTCCTGCGGGAGACTCCACTGTGCAATGTCTACATCACCATCGGTTGTCGCCCTTTCCGGATGTTCTCGTTTTGTCTGTGTCCAATCGGTCCGACTTGATTCGTCTTCTTGATTCTTAGACAATTGGAAGTTATTGTAGACTTCGACACTGCTTATCATTTATTTGGCCTACATCTCCTGTCCTGTTTCTTTTTTCACATGTTGCTTCTTCTTGAGATCAACATGATAAAAGCGTGTCCGTCGTGCCTTATTGTTTGCACACTCCGCCACTCGACAAAGGCACTATCGTATAAGTTAAAATTCATCACATCTAGACTCAGACTGCCGTCTCACGCCAAGCAAAGCACTGTACAGATGTTTCATCCTTTTGGCTATCGTCAGCAGTGCACATTCCATCCCTAAGCATGAAACGGTCTTACAGGATTTTTCCGGGCATGTGTTGGTGGTGTGACTTAGTCTAGACGTGCTGAATTGATGCTTATAACATTTTAATCCTTCTTGTATACTATCATTGTGTTTGAGAGCCTCTTACTTCATTCCTTCAGTCGCGCGATTCCACACAATCTCTGATTTTCAGGTGCCTTACTAGTCGAACTTCCCTGATTCCGCTGTTCAAAATGGATTCTAGCAAAATGTCTGAGTCACTATTTATCCAGTCCGTGCAGCAGATGGCTCGGCTGTTGGAGTCAAGTTCACCGTCCGCCGTCTCAAAGCTACCAATGGGCGCTAGCGCTTCCTCGGAGAAGCGAGGCCTACCTTCAGACGGAGCGCCTATTCTCCCTGGGCCAAATGAAGGTGCCACTAAAGACGACTCTTGGTACTGTGAGCTCATTGAACGCTACTTGAAAACCCAACTTTTACCCATTCGTCTTGAGGTGGGCATTTCGGAGTTGATCGATGCTTACGAGGGGCCCAGCATCTACGGTGAGTCGCACACCCCATGTCATTAAGGTATCCATCTCATGTGATTACGCTTACTCATTCATCTCCACGCATCTCTTAAGTTGAGCTTACGTACGTGATATGATCGGCTGTTTTCGCAACGCCACCCACTGACCCAACGCTTTTCAATGCGATTCACCTATCGGCAATCTCACACACACATTCAGTTCCTACCGCAGTTTGTTTCAACTGCACTCAACTTTCTCTGCTTCTTGTCTTTTGCGATTCGATACTCCTGCTGCACACTTCTGTCTCTATACAGCATCCACTGGTTCCTCACCCCCTTCTGTATACTTTGTTCGGGAATGCGACTCTTGGATAGCTTGTATGTTACGGACACGTTGTATTTGCGTTTCTATTGGATTTTCTCTCCTGTTAAGCCATATTCCTACACGTGTTGTCTAATATAAGCGCGCGGTTCACCGTTATCACACTTTATTTTCGATGGACGCGCTGAAACGCAGTATAGGTAACAGGCAATCGATATCCGCAGTGCATCAGCACTTCGTACGAATGTCTCGCTGACATGCAGCGGTTGAACACAGGCTCGGGCGCTACTGGGGCGTCAAAATCTGGGAGAAACGAGGAGTTGAATCCAAGGCGCATATACAGCATGTCAGTCGGCTGAAGCACAACACCACGGGCTTTCACAAGGAAAAAGTGGATTACACCATGCATTATCCAATCAAACGAGCCCACTGATGTTGGGAATGCAACCGGTCATTTTTCCTTGTCTCAAGGTCCACTATGGGCTCATTATGAACAAAATATCCATACGGCCAAGTGCTTGACAGATATGGAGCTACTAACACATACTTTACTGATGCCGTATTGATGACACGTCATAACCTGAACCAACATTCATATGCTCGCCACTTCCGGATCAAAGTCTAGCGTCGGAGCGAGACTACCGATACACGCCTCACAACAATAACTCCCTACTCCTCAGAGGAATGCCATCGTACAACTTTCGCTGTATCTTTTCACATTGCGCCCATCTGCACCCACATCATTCACAGCGGTTCTGGTGTCCAATGGGGCGCTCTACTCCGTCCAACCGGATCCACATGATCATGCTCCTATTGTCTGTCTTCCAATTTCGCATTTACTCCATCACATCCTAACCTAGTTCGCACACTGTTCTTAACAACCACAAGCTCATCCCTAGGAGTTCATTGGCGGTCGCATGTCTCCGCTCACTTTGGTCAGATATCTCAACTGGACTTCTTCGTCAGTTGGATAACAGCCCTTAGAAGGTAAAGTGCACATCAACAGTAGTACGCTGGTACATCGTACCGACGCTTCGTTACCACGCGACCACCATCAGTCGGGTGCGGGCTAGTCACCCTACGAAGTCAGTCACACTTCTACGCAGGCTTAAGCTGGCGACCTGTGGGTTACGTTCGAGACGCCTGAATTACTCGGCCACTGGAAGGAGCATCCATAGGGAAAGTATAGATGAAGATGATTATTGTTTCCTCAATTTGATAGTGCGATTCTCTCCGCAGTACCTCTTTGGCATCACCTTCGACGGCCCTCAAAGGGGGATTGTCATTTCGAATGCGGAACGCTATAAATTGTGCAGAAAATTGATTCTCTCTGATGGCGTGAAGTGGATTTCACTGGCTTTCTCTACTGCTACTCTTCACCACCACCCAGTCTTCCAGAAGCTAATTCTAACATTACATCTAGCTGATTCACTGGTCTGTTAATCAAATAGCAGTGTTTCCAATGCCTCTACAGTTCTGCGATTACATCCAGTTCACCTGCAGAACTGACCGGTGACTGCCTCAAATAGTAACTGAGCGCTTCCCTATGTGCTTAAGACAATTCATGACGCAACAAGAAAGGAATGCTCAGGTGATGATCCGGAACCCCACCTGGTCTATCACAAAGCACCTCATCACGGCTAACCATCAGTTTGGCCCATCAAAGGCATTCAAAGTGCTGCTGATCAACCGCAACTCGAGAATGATGGCAATCAGTGAAGCATTGTTAATTGCAGTAAACCGACCCGTGTTATACGCGCAAGAGCAATTGAATATGCTTCTGACACATGATGTACACCCAACTTGAGATGTCCTAACTGTGTACAGATCTCTGAGGCATCGATCTGCTTGACCCAAACACGGAAATAAATTCCGATGCGCATTGAGTCTCAGCGTCTCCTTAACTCTCTGAACTGACATCTCACAAAAAGTCTTCGAGTCGACTGGAAACGCTGGTGGATTGTAAATGCCCGTGTGACGGAGAAAACTAGTGCTTTTCCAGCTCATCTGGAATACGGGTTCGAGAAAGTCATAAGTTGGCGAGACAATAGCCGAGAAAAACGGACAGTTGATCCATTCTCAGCTTCGTCGACTAGCCCGTTGGGCGAAACATTTTGAAGAGCAGTTCAGCAAGCTTGCTGTGACACTGCCGCTTGCCGAATTGCCTGAGCCGAAGTAAAATATAGTTGTCACCCTTTCCGCTTTAGAAGAAATTCGACATGACCTTTCCGTGTTGTAACGAAACAATGCTCCTTACCCCGATGACCTTCCTCTATTTTTGCTGTAAGGTGGTGGTGACTCTGGTAACTGGATTCGCTTCTCTGTTTAACACCATTTTGAACGCTGTAGAGGTACCTTCAAACTGGCGACTGTCAGGTGTCGTGTCCATCTTCAAGAGCAGTCAGCATACTCTGTGCGAAAATCATCAAGGCATTAGCCTTGTTCCCGTTGCCTCCAAACTTATGACGGGTAACATTCTCCGACGACTTACTGGTCCCTGTGAGGACCAAATCACTGAAAGCCAGGCTACCTTATCGTCATCGCATCAACCACATATTTACTCTTCGCCAAGTTTTGTTGCAGACACACACAGACGACCACCTATGGTGGTTTTCCTTGACTTGAGGGCCTCCTCCAACTCTGTTGGCTACTCCAACTTGTGGCACTGCCTATCAACGAATTGCGTGCCGGACAAGTTCCTTTCCATTCTCAAGTCTCTGTACCGTGACTCCCAAGGCCGTGTAAGGATCTACAGGTAGCCGTCTCCTGAGTTTCCCACGACAGGTAGGGTTCCCCACGGTTGTCCTATATCTTTTTTCCTTCTCAGCTTTCTTATCGAAGTGCTCATGAATGACTCGATTCTTTCAAACTCTACCGGAGTGGATGTTTTGCCACAAAACCGACTGACAAACCTGGAGTATGCGGAGGACCTTGCTCATTTCGCATCTGACGCAGTGGTTATGCATGCACTACTGGATAGACTGACGTTTAGTACTGCACGCTTCAGCATGTGCTTTACACATTCAAAATACAAAGTACTGCTACAGGACTGAATCGACACATCTGCGGTTCTAGCTATCAGCGAACGGTCACTAGAAGTGGTGGATCGGTTCACTTACTTTGGTAGCTATGTCACTTCTGGTGGTCACATCACTGTTACTTCGCGTGTCAACAAGGCCGGTTTGACTTTCCAGAGACTTAACCCTCTATGGAAAGTGTGGGATATCAGCGTGTCAGTGAAAGGTGGGGTGTATAACGCTGCGGTAAGACCGGTTTTACTGTATGGATCAGAGACCTGGCCAGTTCGCAGTGAGGACATTAAACGTTTGGCCGTGTATGACCACCCGTACTTGAACTGTATTGCTCACGTCTGGTGGGAACACGTTGTGAGTAATGTTGAGGTCTGTTAGTTGGTTTTCGCAAGAATTTTTCTGGTGCCTCATTCGAATGTTTGTTGCATCTTAATAGCTTGCGTTTACTAGGCCATGTCCTCCGTATGTGTGTTGATCGGCTTCCTCGGTGTGCATTATACACCGTGACTGTAGCAAATTGGGTGAAACCGCGAGTTGGCCAGTCCACGGTGTAGCATGAAGAAATCGGCTGAGAGACTTGGTTAGGCTGTCGCGTGCCCTCTTCGTGGATGCGGGCCTCGGGATGGTCCACACCAATAGTTGAGGACCGTATCAGACATGGCGCAGTCACGAAGTCGGTGGCGCTCCTGCATTCGGTTTCTAGCATCAGGTGATTCATTTTGCTTCCATTCTGACTAGGTTAACGCACTTCTTCCTTGCTTCCATTTTCTTTACATTCTATTTGCTTCCTGTCTTGCTATTGTTCTTTAGTCATACTTAAGATGTGAGTCGTGGCAACTGGATCCACCGCATCTCGGTGCTCGGGTCATAGTTTATCAACTGAACTGAAAAGCAATTGAGCCGTTCTATCAAATTGCCCTGTTCATTTGAATGCAACTTTCATTTGATATGCACACATATTGCAGTTTTTGTTTTCTATCCACATTGCCCCTATAAATTGTTGAGCTACAGTTAGGAACGAGAGTGTTTCAGCTGTAGAGTTCAAGAGTATTAGGATGAGGAGCAAACTTTGGAAATAGTGGTATTTACCAGGGTAAGGTGCAAGCATTGTGATTCGAACTAACTAATATGTCGATATATTATGTTGTTATTAGCATTATTGCTGTTTTACTATTAAAATTTGGATACACGTATCTTGACTTCAATGTAGCATTTTTATTCGAAGTAAAATCCATTTGAATTGGCACACGTTTGTCAACGGGAAACAAATTTGTCCATCGCAGATGGATAAAATTCCGGTGGCGTTAAACTCATTGGGTGCCGTTTTAGCATCTCCTTGGGTTGTATGAATTCTCTCTATGTGTAGGTTATGCAGGTGCTTGAAAAAGTAGCAATTATGATGCGAGACATCAGGGGAGTATGTTGGTTGAGGCAAAGTTTCCTAGCGCCGGCTCGTTCAGCTTCTGCTGGGTTGGCTGTGCGTTTGCGGCCAATGGTTATTATAGAGATGTGTTGGTACTTTTCTACCATCCAATGCCGAATATTCGTGTAGATGTTTTCGGTGAATTTCGACAATATGTTGACAATATTTATCCAGTGGTATGCCTTAGCCTAAATTCTGAAATCTGTGATGGATCAGACCAGTCGCAGATCAACAAAAAGTTACCATAATACCTTTAGGCGAAATTTTGGCTTGTGGAAGTGTTGTGGAGCCGGATGTGTGCGGTCCGATTGGCTGGCTCGTTAAATGCTTCAAACTCGCGCGGGCCTAATAGATGTCTATTCATCATCGCTGCCTATGCGCCCACAAACTAGCCATGGTTAAGGTAAAAAACGACTTTTATCGCCAACTAACCCGGCTCCTTCGCCACAGACGAAGCACGGACACTGTAATGCTGGCTGGGGATCTGAACGCTCAGTTGGAAACTTGTCCACTGATGAAATACATCTGGGCGATCAGCACAGTATAGGCTCCCGTAATGATAACAGTGAGCGGTTACTTCATTTGTGTGAAGATGCCCGCTTATTTCTTGGGAGCACTAACTTTCGACACAGCACCTGCCGGAGGGTGACTTTGCGCCCACCAGTCTCGAAGCAGCCTTGGACGCAGGTCGATCACATTGCTATCAGTTACCGCTGGAGAGGCTGCATCCAGAATTGTCGCTCGATTTGGAGCACATGTGTGGACACCGATCATGCACTTGTATGTGCTGACATGCGGATGCGTTTTGGCGGACGCCCACGACGACGCTGTGAGCGCATTGACACCAGCCAATTGACAAAGCCAGCTGTTCTGAATGCGTATCGAAGTACGCTGACATGCGAGTTGAGTAAGCACTCACTGGAGACAATTGATGGTCATTGGTCACATGTTCGCCAGACCTTACTAGCAGCAGGAAAATCCTCATGTGGTATGTCTAATAGCCAACATGGATATTGGGTCTCTTCGCGGTCTCTGGAACTTATCGATGCTCGCCGACATATTCCAGCTGGAAGCGAACACAATGAAACTCTCAAAGAGCTTCGGGCAAGACTCCGTGCTAGCATGAAGAGAGACCGCGAATCTTAGTGGTGGAAGTGGCCGCTGCCCTTGGCAGCCATCGCAAGTTATTCCGTCTGATACGGGAAACAGGCAGCAGGAGACCTGGTGTTAGTGAAACAATTTGTGACGAGAGTGGACAGCCTATCGACAACATGTCAAAAAGCTTGGAGCGTTGGGCTGAGCATTTTGATAAGCAATTAAATCAGTTAGAATTGTTCGATTCTTCACCGGCAAGTGATTGCCCTGCTTCGGGGGTTGTCCCTTTGGATCCACCCTCTCGCTCAGAAGTCGAACTTGAGATCGGACTGTTGAAGTTAAACAAAGCCGCAGGACCTATTGATCTTCCTCCGGCCCTCTGCAAATTCTGGGGCTCAACTCTTGTTGATGCTTTACATGAATTACTAGTGAAACTGTGGAAGCAGAAGACTATCCCAACCGACTGGAGCCGCTCTGTTATTGTTCCCATCTTCAAAGGATGCTCGCGTTCGGAATGCGGCAGCTATGGAGGAATCAGTCTGATATTTATCGCCTCCAAATTACTCGCCTCCATAATTCTTCACAGACTGACTGGCGCTCGTGAAAGCCAGATTCGGGAGGAGCATGCCAGGTTTCGTCTGGGTCGTGGCTGCATCGACGACATCTTCACCTTGCGTCAGTTATTGGAGCACCGTCACATATATTGGCGGCCCACCGTAGTCGTGTTCCTCGACCCCTTAAATGTCTCCAGCGGTGTGAGACAAGGATGCCCGCTGTCACCTTTTCTCCTCAACTACGCTATTGACGAACTCATGGAATTCGCGTTCACATGACGTGACTTGGAAGGGGTGGCGCTACTCCCAAGGGATCGACTTCTTGACTTGGAGTATGCAGACGACATTGCTTTCATTTGTGACAACTCCCAGACGTGCCAAGCGGCACTGGACAGATTTGCATTGGCTGTAAGCCGCTTCGTGCTTTGCTTTGCACCAACGAAATGCAAAGCGTTCCTCCAAGATTGGTAGTGATCGCCTCCTACACTGACCTTTGGTGTTGATCTGCTAGAAGTCGTTCGGAAATACAACTACCTGGGAAGTTGTATCAACGCCCTTGGGATCGAAGACGTGATCACGAACTGTATAGCAAAAGCTCGAAATGCTTTTGCTAACCTTCGTCACCTTTGGCGGCAGCGCGAAATTACTCTCGCCCTGAAGGGTAGAGTTTACAATGCAGCGGTACATTCGACCCTACTGTAAGGTTGTGAAACCTGGCCGCTTAAAGCAGCGGACCTGAAGAGGCTAGTTACGTCCGACCATCGGTACCTTCGCAGTTTGGATCACATCTGGTGGGAACACCGCGTGAGTAACGAGCGTGTTCGACGCCTTGGTTACGGCACCGGAAAAGGCAATGAAGCGCTCAGCGCCGTTATTTCATGCACCAAGCTCCGATGGCTCGGCCATGTGCTGCGCATGCCAGCCCACCGACTTCCACGACGTGCGTTGTTTGCTCACCGGGGATGTGGGTGGAAGAAGAGGAGAGGTGGCCAAGCGATGACTTGGTCCAGAGGAATGAAGGCCCTCACTTCGGAGCTGGCCTCAGTTGGAGCTTCATGGCTCCCTGGTTGGGGTCCAAAAGACGGTGAACACGTTTGGCTGGATACACTTGCTGACATGGCAAGCAGCTGACCTCAGTGGCGTTCCTGCTGTGTTTTTTTGTCCCTCCCCATCGCTTTTAGCCCCCCTCCACCTATAATCTTATTTCATGGCGTAAAACATAATAATTTTTCTTTTTGCCTAGTGGCTGGCTGGTAGCCTACCGGAACGATGCCTTTCCGTTGCTAGTAGCTCAGCTGGCATGCAGCTGTTGTATTTATTTTCCTTTTCCTTTATTTATTGGGGGACAGTAGCTGAGGTGTTTCCACGTCTGGCTGACGTGTATAATGATGATGATGGACAAGAAATAGGTCGCTTCTATTTGCCTAAAACACTCCAAGTTGACGATTTCTTTTATTTTAGTTTACTACGGGCGCCACCCATTTATCATGCTTTTTCCACATTCCTATTCCTCGTAGCTGTTAAAAGCTGTCACTTACGATACTTCTACGCCAGAAGCATCATCTTGGACCCGCTTCAAATAGGGTCCTTAATTGATGCTTGTTCACTTCTGATTTCCGTCCACAAGGCTGTCCATCTTCGAGCATCTCGTAACCTTTTCGACATTTTTGAAACCATCATTGTGTCGTACGATCATTATTGGAACCACAACCACATTCACTGTTGGTGTCACGAGCTGGTTCCGCTGCATTTCGTCCAAGTTTAACTTGAAACAAGACAATTTTGCGAATTTCCTTCTGTCCATGTCACATTGCATGTTCTGTATAACAGCAAAAATGTGCGTTTGGGCTAAACGATTCTTTTTGCAAACAGCAAAAAACGTGTTTCCGACCGATATACAAGGTCAATGCAAATTATTAAAATTTTCTTCAAAAAGCAGCCGTTAAAATTTAGCTATCAAAACCGCAATATACTCTAGTAACGACAATCTGAAAAAAGCTGATACGAAAGCACTATTCCTGCCCCACCATCATGTGAGCATTAGATTCTTATATAACACTGGTAAATAGCACCACCAGAGTCGCAATCGTAATATGCTGTGTTCTGAAATATGCGACAGGCGGTCTTTGAGGGATACTAAGTCTAATTCGACCACATCCAGTGTCACAGTAATAATAAGTTGGTTGCCCTGACTCGTCTTAGCACATGCTTGCAGAGCGCTTGGCCATATCTCCTGTTCCACGAGCTACCTGCATGGCGCAATTTCGTGCGTCTCAGTGGCACAAAAATTCGGTAACGAACCAACTTAGCACTACATTTACTGTTGCTTTCGATGAATGAGTCTTGTTGTGCACACTGGTCACTGCTCTCTTGTCTTCCTTCAACTTCACTTCCATGATTTTTAGACAGCAACTTGGTCACTCCAGATCTGTTGCCACTGACGCCAAATCACTCCGCCTCCGATCCTACCCGAGCCATACCACCCTCGCATCCGACTCTTCGGCCAAACGAGCTTATCCGTGAAGTGGAACACATGTGGGATTTCGGAACCATTATGTTGCACAATCCAGCCAGCGAATCCGGCCCAGGTGTGGTTTCAGACTCTGGTAGGTTCTTGGCAATGGCTTTCCTTCTGTTACTCTGCTCTGTAAAACGTTTCATTCTGTCTCTGCCGCCATTAATCCCCCCCCGCCTTGTTTAACCATACCAGTGTTAACAGGGAACTCGCCATACCGGAGCCAAACAAGGCTAGTGGTCCTGATTGCCTTTCATCAATCGCTCTGAAAACGTGTGCTGAATCATTACATTCTCCTCTGACAACGATTCTCAATCGATGTTTCATGGCAGGTACCATCCCTGACATCTGGAAGGCAGCAACAATGACAACAATGTCCTAGAAGGAATCATGGAAGTATCGGTCACTAGCATGCACTTGTATGTTGTTTGACGTGCCTCGAAACCTAATTGTCCCCACATTTTACGATCATGCAGATGATAACAAACAGTTTGCTTATAAATCAGAACACTCTACACTGTATGCCATCTCATATCTTCTGCGTTCCGTTGCATGTTCTCAGTTAATTGCATCCATAGCGCTCTCAGTTTCCTTCCTAAGGGTATCACGTTTCTCCATAGATCTCGCAAGGTGGTCCTTAACGCCATGCTGACAAAGTCCTTACCTGTTTATTACCTACTACCTCGTCCATGCGGGCTCCAGGAGACAGTTGGTCGTTGCTGGAGGGGACGACGTGCACGGTCCTTCTGGCCGTGCTAGGCTCGAACAGTGGTGCCATACACTCAGTGTGGAGCGGACTACGGTCCAGCCACCGTATTGTGTGCACTTGATTCCATAAATGCAGCGCGCCTGTGTTTGCGTGTGAAGGAGTGTGGGCCGGCTCCGTTGATGAAACCTTGCTCCCATCCACCTTCCTCCCGATCTCATTCTTTCGAGTCTACACCGGATATGGGATGTGTGGATGGAGCCGTAGGTGGTGCAGCGCAAGCCACCCACGGTCCTTCTGTAGGCGCAGGCGTTCTGTGGCTGTTCTATGTAGGCCACAATGACAGCAAATTCGGAACCGGACGCCGCCAGCCAGATATAAATATATATACATATATATATATATATATATATATATATATATATATATATAGTGTAAACCCGACGGAATAAGACCGGATCACATGTGGATGGGCGCCACGTTTCATCAATAAAGCCGGCAAACACAAGCACGCTGTATTTGGAATCAGTCGCACACAAAGCGGTGGCTGGAACGTAATCCACTCCACACTGAGTGCATGGAACCACTTTTCGAGCCTAGCACGGCCACAAGGACGGTACACCCCGTCCCCTCCAGCAACGACCAACTGTCTCCTAGAGCCAGTATGAACGAGGTAGTGGGTAATAGACCGGTAGGTACCTCGTCAACATGCACCTCAAGCGCACTCACGCCGGGGATATCAAGCAGCAGCCAATCACCTGGAACGACGAGATCAAATAAAATAACTCGAATAATGCACGCAGATACGGTTACATAACTCATCACTAAATGAGCGTATAAAATAATTTGATTACGAACGAATTCGCAATAAGTTCAAGTCGTCAGAAAATATACGCTAAGGAAATGTCACAACGCGAAAATGTAATCGAAGTTAACTACAATTAGCTTAAGCGACGTGTGCAAGTTTATGGAAGATAGTTCAGGTAGACATTAATATGAGAAAGGAAAGCATTAGGGCAAAATTGCAAACCCACCACCTGAAATGAAGAGATTCAGCATGCAAGCACGCGGTTAGTAAATCGAATGCAGCGTACCTACAAACGCTGCGCTGGTTCTACCTACGTTCTCCACAGGATCCGTCGTCGTTTCGGTGTGGTCCCGACTGGCTTATATATATATATATATATATATATATATATATATATATATATATATATATATATATATATATGGTTGGCTGCATCCGGTTTCGGATTTGCCCGTCACTGTGGCCAGCCACAGGACGTCTTCACCTACAATGGAACCATGGTTGGCTTGCGCTGCGCCACCCACAGCCCCACCCACACATCCCAAATCCAGTGTAAACCCGAAGGAATAAGACCGGGAGGCATGTGGATGGGAGGCACATTTCATCAACGGAGCCGGCACCAACCGATGCGCAGTATCCCTCGCAGACACTGTTGATGAAACCGCTGGAGATATCACACCTATCGCTTGTACATCGTCCACGTTTCACTGCCGTATGGAAGAACGGACAGTACCATGGATTTGTACACCATCAGCTTCGTACCAATGGTAAGCTGATGGTTGTTCCACACTCGTTATTCTAGCTTCCCGAATGCCGCCGTTGTCTTCAAGATGCGCATACGCAGCTCACTGTGTAGCTGCTGGTCAGTGGACATCACATTCCCAAGGTAGCAGAAGCGGGAAGTGGTTTCCAATACTACAGCAACAATACTGATTCGCGGCACCATTGTAGATTGCACCTCCGGTGAAGGCTGAAAGAGACAGATAGTTTTAGTTGTGTTGACGGTGGTCCCGAATTTGGCAGCTGTCGAAGCCAGAGCACTAATCATGTGCTGCAGCTCATCCGCGCTGTGTGCAAACAACGCACAGTCGTCAGCAAACAGCAACATACGGATAGTTGTCTCATAGACTAGAATTCTCGCACTGAAACGACGGATGTTCAGCAACCCACCATCAATACGGTGCTCCACACGAACACCGTAAACACAAGCCGCATCAAACGCACACGACATCATGGCATGAAGATAGATATTAAACAGGGCAGGAGCTAAGACACAGCCTTGCTTCACACCAGAGACAACTGCAAAGTCATCCGAGGTATCTCCACTTAGCTGCACCCTAGCCCGCGTACCATTGTGCAGACATCCAATTAAGCTTACAAATTTACTCGGATAACCAAACTTACCCAACACCAGCCACAGTGCCTCGCGGTTCACCGTATCAAATGCCTTGGTGAAATCAACAAAAAGCGAGTACAATGGCTGGTGTCGTTCTCTGCATTTCTCCTGCAACTGACGAGCTGCAAACACCATATCTATAGTGCTGCGACCCGAACGGAATCCACATTGCTCTTCCGCCACGTTAGGTTCCACAACGTGACTGACGAGGCGGTTGAGCAGGATTCGGGCAATCACCTTGCCCACACAACTCAGCAAGTTGATGCCACGATAATTCGTGCAACATTGCTTGCTCCCTTTGCCCTTGTACAGTGGCAGCACACGGGTATCCTTCAGCTCAGGAGGCACCTCCTCCTCAATCCATACGCGTTGCACTAAGTGGTGCAGCGCAGTCACCAACGCGGGTCCGCCGCATTTCAATGCTTCAGGCGGGATCCCGTCGGCACCGTCACATTTGCCCTTTCGCAGCTGTGAAAGTGCTCTCTGCGTCTTATCCACTGTCGACGTGTCCGCCAGACTCACGTTCACCTCGTGCTGCTTCAGGCCGTTCAATGTAGGCCAGTCGATCTCTGAACGGTTGTTCAAGAGGCGATCGAAGTGAGTTCTCCAGGTCTGCATTATGTCTGCAGTCTGTAGGCAGGCAGCGCCTGAACTACCATGGAGCAGTGTCCTCAGAGGCTCCAATCTCGGTCCATACACGGCCTTCAAGTAGTCAAAGAATTCCTTGTGTTGGTGGCGTTCGGTGTAACATTTCATCTGCTTCACCTTCATCCACCATGCATTTTTAATGCGACGGACCTCTCGAGTCATTCATTGTCGAACTCTGTGAAACTTACTCTTGTTCCCCAAGTCACTGGAGTCTGCCACATATGCGGCAAACGCTGCGTTTTTCTTAGACACCAATGCGCCAATCGTCGCATCGTTTCCATCAAACCAATCATTTGGCTTACAATTTGCACGCGTGATGGTCTTCTCGGCAGCAGCTGTCACCTGGTCTCGAATGTGGTGCCGCAGGTTGCCCCCTTTGGTTATGCATTCCACATCACACAGGCGTGCAGCCATCGTCTTCACTAGCTTAATACGTTTCTCCAGTTCCTAGGGAGATATAATTAAATTTGCGCCGGTTCTCGGCATGAGTGCAGTGGAACGATTTACGAGTATGAATGTACAGTTTATTCCCCCCCCCCCAACTTGTGATATGTGCCACACTCAGCTCCACGCAATACACGTGTCATGCGCACTTCACGCATATCACGCTGACGTACGATGACATAGTTAAGGTGGTGAGCGTGACCACTTCGTTCGCGTGTCCAAGTTGCTATCTCACTCGCACTCAGTGCAAACCGAGTGTTCGTGACCGTCAGGCCGTAAGTGTGAGAGCAGCCTGTCGCAGTTCGCATTCACTGAATCAATGCCATGTGGACCGATGACATCTGTACACATCGATGCGTCACGCCCAACGCGCGCTTTAAAACCACCCAGCAGAAGGGGTCAGTCGCTCCTCGGCACGGACCGTATCTCGGAGGACAACTGTGTGTAGAATGGTCTACGCGTATCATCCCGATAACACATAATAAAGTGACAAACTTACCTCTTTCGAGTCCCAGGCGAACAGCCATCAGTCGCCGGCTGATGTCTGTTGCTTCACTTACGAGCTGGTTATTGATGCGATGGGAAAGTGCAAATCCGTTTCCATGTTCACGTGGTGCTGAAGTGGCGTTTCCCATCCAGTAGAACGCATAGCCAGAACCAGGTTTATGCAACTTGTCTTGCTCAGCTAGCAGGGTCTCACTGAGCGCCGCAATATCAATGTTGTAGCGTGCCTGTTCCATCGTGACCAGTGCGGTGCATCGCTCAGGGCGTTCACTCGAGTTCCGGTCCAGTAGTGTGCGCACGTTCCAGCACCCGATGTTGAGTGCTTTGTATAAGATTGCATTGGTAGGCAGTCGCACACGTAGTGATGGTTGTGCTTCCAAATTTTACTTGATGAACTTCGCCCGAAGCCTTTGGCTCAAAAGCCTGACCCACAAGGCAGTGGTTTGTGTGATTTTTCTTGATCCACATGGTAGCGGAGAGCAGATCCAGCTCAGGAATGTGGTTGCAGAGACAGATTTGAATCTGTTTGACGGCCATCACACGCATACTTTGAGGTACTGGAACGATTCCTATTTGTTTTGTGACCGCGGTAGGATACGCACTTGCGACCACGTCCAGACGCAGGAGGATTTTGGCGGATTTGCATTAATTTGGCCAAGACTGCCTGGCTTGTTTCGGACAGTGACAAACCGTTGAGCACCCGGAAGTACCCTCCCACCGTCAGCGACAATGCGTGACGCTCGTGCTCTACGCCAATCGAGCGGTGGACTTGTAACCCGTGGACCTGTTGTCTCATAAGGCTAGGTTTTATGGGAAGAGGACCATCGACCACTTCCTAATCTTCTCAGAGGATGGATTAGGATACTAGCAGGGCGCTCACATCTGACAGGAGAACGACTCGGATCCTCAGCCAAGGCCTTCGATTAAATGTACACGCGAAAGGCGGTGGGTCTAGCACATGGTCAGTTCACTGACTCATGCGGATTGGTGTCCTGGATCTTAGCAGGGAGAGGGGCGTAACCCAACTCCCACCCAGCGGTCCCCACGAGGAGGCGTCCAGCACATGAGCCCATGGTACAACAGTAGCAGCAGTGAGTAGACCATCTGTCAGAATCTAGCCTCCGCAAGTCTCACCGCACCATAAGCTCTTGTGTTATCTGTTCTGTTATCGATGATACCAATCAATCTAACATGTACTTCCGTTAGCCGTGGTTCCATCAACATCCTTGTCCTCTGCTTTTCCCTTCTTTTAATATGATTTTTATTGTTTATACTTCAGGACTAAATAATGAATTATGTATGTTTCTCTCGTTCAGCTCCACGTTATTTCATTCTTCACTAGAGCTACTAATGGAGAAAAGTGGACACAGAGTGTCGCGTTTTTTGTCTTTTTTTCTCAAATTTTCAATCCTGCCTTGTTATCATTGTGCCTGTTTTATGCTGTTCGCCCTAATCTTTTTGTCTATTATCCGGTCTGCTGTCTACAGCGTTTGATGACTCCTGCTGTAGATTATGGAAAGAACCCCTTATAGACTTAATCGTTGGCATGTATTTTGGCGCATGCTTCAACTTGTCATTCTGGATTCTACGCAATTCCTGCCACCCCGTTCTACAATGTTCTTGTCAGCACCGTATCTGTTTCTTTCACGCGGGCGAAATTTAGCGTTTTATTTTCTCCCACCTCGTCGTATCACAACTCCCCCTTGTTCTAGCTCTCACACTTATTAGTCCATCCTAAAGCAATGCTGCACCAGTCGCGAGACTGTTTACTTGAATGATTCTTTACGGCTCTTGTTCCCCTTGTCGCTTTGTATTTTTTCCTTAATCTTCTTATTATATTTGCATTGTTAGAGTAAATTGTATAAGGCTAATCTCGACTTGACTCGATCAGTGAACGCACACATGCCTGATGAGTCTTGGTCGTTCAGAATCCTCCATATGTACCTCCCGTGGATTCTAACCTCTGATGCATTGACCCGACCATTGGTTAACGCTGCTCACCTTCCATGCCCTTACCGAATCCGTCCAGTGGAAACGCTATCATTTTTTGCGCCTTCAAATCACGTTTGTTGCAGTTGTCCTGGTTATTTTTTCGCTTTTCCCCGTCTAGTAGATCAGCATGACATGGATAATTTGCCAACTCTTTGTCTCACTTTTGACCACACTTGCGTTCCCTTTTTCTCATTCGAGTGTGTGTGTAGAACGGACACACAAGAAGTCGCTAGCAACTCAATAGTTTCACTTTGTGGTTGATGTTGACACAACTTTGATCGGCACAATTGCCTACTTACTCTCACAACTTCTCACCTACTGAGGCGCGTTGCAGTGACTTCTGTGGACTCTGGTCCTCTGCCTGATCTTTGGAGTTGTTCGATCGGCTTTCCTCTACACAATTGCATGCACCAGTTCTATTGAGCTAAGAGGTTGCCAATGCACACTGTCATTACTCGGGAACTCCCGAGTCCTCATTCAGTTGACCTGGCTCACAGAGTCGGTTGCTTGTGGAACGATCTGGCGCCACTGGCTTAGCAAACACCGTGCTTTACTTGGTCTTTGACAAGGTGAACAAAACGCATGGATTTTGTCTTTTCGGGGCTTTCATCCTAATCCGGGATGTATGCATTTATCGAACGCTCTGTGCTAGTTCAGAACCGGATCATTACGGAGTACTGTTGCTACCGACAACCTTTGTAAGACAAGAAATTTCCATCAAGCGTTTAACGTAAATCGCTAAACGTCCTGTGGATCAACTTGCTCGCTAACAAGTCCCCAGTTCACTTCCGCCTATCAAGTATGGTCCTTACATTGAGTTGCAGTCGTTAAACCTGGCTTCATACTAATGTATATACTTAGTTTCACACAACATATTTGTAAAATGTTAAGTTCACCTAGGAAAAATTTGTTTTTTAGACACGATTGTTTCTGTCGTTTTCGCCCGCAATATTGTTGAGATCAAATTGCGCCAGACGTCTTTCGGTATTGTGTTGGCCGTTTTGACAGAATAATTAAACGTCTGTCGTTAGCTTTTTGGCTGCCAGGGAATTCGTTTCATTGGAAAATCGGTCCTAATGACTCCCAGTAAACTGTCCCTCTGTCAGAATTATCATGCTAAGCTAATGACATCACGCATGGAAGGTTACTTACCCAATACATTCGTCGATCTTCGTAGACTTAAGACCTATGACGACAAGAGGCGAAGCAGTTGCCCAAGAAGGATGCCACTGCTTGGGTTGAAAATCTGATCAAATTAACTGTTATTCATTCCCGCAACTAGTTCGATTGGAAGAGATGCAGCTTGCTTTGACTCCAAACTGCACAAATGTTGACAATTTGATTCCATCACGTCATTTAACTCTCTGATCTCTTATAAAGTCTTATAAACTTGCTCGCAACCCAACGTTGTCAGGGGTCTTAATTTTGTTAAAAGATTTAAACATTTGTCTGGGACCTTAAGTAATTGCGCTATGGTCAGAAATCTACTTATTCTTCCCAATCGTTACTTATTGCACCTGATTCTTTGATTGCTTTTCAGGCGATGAGTCTTCTTGTCTCGTGCGAGTCGGCGCGGTAGATCCTTTCATTCGGCTACTTTTTCCCTCGAACTCTCTATCAGCTATCAATATTTTAACTTTTAAGATGATTTGAGAGTTTTCATCTAATGGAGATTCTCCCGTTTTATCACAATGCAACGGTGCACTGCCTGGTACCCTTATGAATCCTTTCTATTCCATCGAATCTGAGAGTTGTATTCCCCTCAGTTCCATCATCTCCAAGAGAGTGTTATTCATCCCCTTCTTCTGTTGCACAGATTTTGTGCTCTTCGCCAATCCTACCTCCGGGAGCTTGCATCGCGCGACCCAGCTTAACACACTCATGGGTTCCACAGGCACTAGATCCAATCGGGATTCTCTGATATCGTCCTCAAGCACAGGTAGCTCAATTCAGCTTGACGCCGCACGCAATCCGCAGTCAGCTGCCCAGAGTCGGACGAATTCCCTGGACCGACCCACCTATCGACCGTCTGGTGAGACGATTGGTCGTCCCACAACCCCTATCTCTCCTGAGCTTGTCCCATTCACTACATTTCTCAATTCACTCTATGTGTATCCCAAGTTCTTGAACATGGCTGTGAAGCATGGCTTTCCTCGAGTAAGCGCAGCTCTCGTCCAATTGGCGAATTCTGTTCTCCTATACCTTGATCCACTTGTGTCTAATCCTCCTACCTCATTGCAGGCTCGTAACTTGTCGTGTTTCATGGAGCTTCGCTGTTCTGACGATTTGCAACTATCTTCTGCATTACAAGTGAGCTATTAGTTGTTCCTGCGTCTTCCCCTGCGTAGCGATCGAATACCATGCTTTCACTTTGTGTGCCTTCTTTTCCCGTAACATGGCAGCATCGTTTGCAATTACATGCCTGTGTGAAACCCTTCTAAGTACCGGAAGACAAATCTTATCCCTCTATCATCTACTGGGTTTTGCCTTTTTCGTCCCTCTTGTTAGACAAATGAGATTAATAATGTCATCTTTTGGGGGCTCGTTCGAATCGCTGGACGCGTAAACGCAATGTGGACCGCGATTCGCATTTGTACTGAACCCTTATCAATTCTGTCGCTGGGCCTGTATCTTTGGCAGGTACATGTCAGGCATTGCCTGCTCCCAACACTGCATCGCACATTTGCACTCATCAGGTAGAGATGGCAGGATTACACTCTTATGCGGGGCGTTTGACGTGTCAGTCGAAACATCCTGCCCTCTAGCCACTGAGATACTCGTTGGGTGAACGAATTGCGACATACAATCTCAATCATAACTGCAATTCACTTTGAACTGAACAACGGTCTCGACAACCCGAGCCAGGTTTCAATGAATCTAGTCCCACTGTTTTGTGGAAATCGCTGTAAATGTAGGCATTTTGTTTTCTCAATAGCGAGCAAATTTATGCACTGTTAGTACAGCATATCTATGCTTATTTCTACCAATCATCATCATTATACGCGTTAGCTGCAGGTGGAAAACACCGCAGCTATTGTGCCGCAATACAAAAGACAAGAAATGGAAAACAAAACGCAGGCTGAGTCCCCAATAACGGATCGACTTCGTTCCGGAGAGCTAACAGCCGGCTATCGTGTCGTAAGAAAACTTATATTATGCCTACCGAATGAGATCGTGAATGGAAGGGGAGGCTAAGCAGGGGATGAATAAAGGAATTCACAACACAAACGCCACTAGGGCCGGCTCCTAGCCATGTCAGCAAGTGTGTTCAACCAAACGTGTTCACCGTCCTTAGGACCCCAGCCAGGCAGTCGGGATGCATCAACCGACACCAACTTCAAAGTGAGGGTTTTCATTCCTCTTGACGAACTCATCGCTTGGTCTCCCCTCCTCCTTCCAACCGCACCCACAACGCGCAAACAATGCACATCGTAGGAGTCGGTGTGCTGGCATGCGGAATATGTGTCCCAGACATCGGAGCCTGGTGCGTGATATAGTGGTGCTGAGCGGTTCACTCGCTCTTCCTGCACCAAATACGCGACGCCGAACACACTCATTGCTCACGCGGTGCTCCCACCAGACATGAGCTAAGCTGCGAAGGCAGCGATGATCGAATGTGACGAGTCTCTTCATGTCTGTCGACCTGATGGGCTAGGTTTCACAGCCATATAGGAGAGTTGAACGGACGGCTGCGTTACAAACTCTACCCTTCAGGACGAGAGTAATGTCGCGTCTGCGCCACAGGGGGCGGAGATTGGCAAAAGCACCTCGAGCGTTTGCTATACGGTTCGTAACCACATCTTCAATCCCACGGGTGCTAATATAGCTGCCCAGGTACTTGAATTCCTGAATGACTTCTAGCTGATCACCACAAAGCGTTAGTGCAGGGGTGCGTCCCCGCCAATCTTGGAGAAGTACTTTGCATTTCGATGGAACAAAGCGTAGCCCAAAACGATTGACAGCTAGTGCTAATTGGTCCAGTGCTGCTTGGCATGTTTCGGAGCTGTCACAGATTATAACAGTATCGTCCGCATACTCTAAGTCACAAAGTCGCTCACCAGGAAGTAGGTCCACACCTTCTAGGTTGTGTCCAGCAAACTCTGTTTCCATGACGTCATCAATGCGAAGTTAAAGAGGAAAGGTGACAGTGGGCAACCTTGTCTCACCCCGCTGGTGATACTGAAGGGTGGCGACAGTTTGTCATAAACCCTCACTCTACCATTTCCACCAAAAATGCATCACCTTTGACAATGTTTATTGCAGTGAAATCTCGATACAGATTTCGGCCCGGTAAGCCATCATGAGGAGGCAAATTGGGATTACTAATAGGTTGTATATCTGCCGGTGCATCTAGAATGACGATGAAAGCGCGAATTTGAAAATAGCTGATTTTCAAGTGATAGTGAAGCCAATCCTAGGAGTCGTGCATGCGGAGCACACTTCACATCCTGTCCAGAGCTGTACTAAGCATTATCGTTAGCTGATCTTCCATGGAACAATTTCCAAGTCAGCAAATTGATTTATGCACCCAGGACCGGTGAAAATTTCGCAAGTCCCTTATGAAATATTTTCTAAGGTAAGATTTGCAAACGATTGCCGAAATGCCACACATTCAGGATGCGTAAGTGATCGGTCGCCGGAAGTAATTAAGGTCACTTGCTTGGCAATCCGACGATGTTTGACTTATACATGTCAAGTATTTATGGTACGAGAGACTAGTAAGTGCTGCAAAGGTGCCATTTGAGGTCTGGATATCCAACCCACTAATATGTTGTTTATTTTTCACACCCCCCTCGCTTCGTCGTCTGATCACCTGCCCTGTTCCACATGGTGGCTCCTTTCGCAGTGTATCTGCATTCAGCTACCAAATTATTTGGGCTGGTCTGTGCGCACAGACAACGGCCTTATCACTTCTATGTTCTTATTTGATCTCACCTGTGTATAGGTACCTTGCGGTTTGGTGGATAGTGAACCGTTTTCGACGCAGTCCTGACGCCCACCTATTTACCTTTTCGCTCCTCTTTCTTCAGGTGTTCTTCTCCCGCCCTAGCATGCGTCAGATTCCCTTCGATTCTTGGTGCAATACGGCGGTCATTTACCACGAGGCTGCACCACATTTCATGGACAATGTGAGCTTTTTCGCAATCTTCTCTACCCTTTGCTTTCGCAGTACGCCCTCATCTCGGCTGAGCTAACTACAACTCACTCATGTTCCGGAGGTCTGCTTGACGAATCTTCACTACGAAGACATCCCAATCAAACCTTGGGCTTTTTAGTTATTGATCTAATTTGAGCATGCTTAACTTACCAACGCCACTAGTTCATAAAACATTTCAACATGTCAGCCAAGAACCACTACTTAAACCTGCAAACCGCGAATTAATGTCGTATTTTCTGTCGTATTTTCAGGGCCGGATTTCTGCGGTGCACTTTCCAGCGTGTCATTTGGGTTGTCTTCAGCTGTCAGTATACTCACCGCACGTACCAAATGAGTTACAAACGTCTCATCACCGAACGAAGTGGCATTATCCGTGTTCATTACCTCAAATAGTGTTCCTTATGAATACGATTCTTTATATGACTGCAAGTTACTAGTAGTCGTAAATCCTCTTAGTTGAGTTCTGGCATAAAGAATCTGAGTAATCGCAATCGGTTGCGGGAATATTGTTGCGGTTTGCGAGGACTGGTCACAATCTCATCGGTGCGATAGGCATATGCTACTTATGCGATTTCGTTTGTTTTCCTGTCAGGGATTTTGATTGGCCTCATACGGCGGTTTTGCTTGTCTACTTTCCATCTGGCCGCTCAACATACTGCAAATGTGATCCCTTCCATTGGTGACTAAAAATATGTCACTCATTGCGAACCGCACGCGTTGTCTGACTGACAACGGACTTCACTGGGATCAAGCGTGAAAATCCCAGGCACCTGCTGTAGCACTCTACTTACCGAATCCGCATACATCCTAGCTATTGTAGGCCGTTTTCTTGCGTCCTATTGGCCGAGGTGAGACTATGCTCCACAGTTTTGTTGGAGGCAGGTGACAGCAGACGCGAAGAAACATATTGAAAGCGCTATGTGTTTTGTTCCTCGCCTCTCCCATAAGTTGGGTGGAAATGGCGTGAATGCCGTTATACGGTGATATTCTTAACATTAACGACAGTGCTCATTAGGCCCCTTTACTTTGTATGCCTAGGATATCTACCTTGATCATTCGCCGATGATATACATTACTTACTGGCTCCATTGGCGTAGAATCGTTCATCAACCATGTATTTCTTTCGCTGTTCCCTCACTTTCCGCACTCAGTTCAAGTTGTGTCTTCCATTACATTTGACTCCTCAACATCATCTACTCTTCCGGTTCTATCACGTGAGCGTGGACACTGCTGGGAGTTTGAGTGCCAAAGACAAACCAATGGGCAAGAAGCCGTTGGAATCCAGCACCGGCTACGCTTGGCTTCCTATCCTCGGCTCAGATGGGAAGTAAGTGATTGCGCGCGTTGCACTCATATCCATCCACCTTCGGTATCATCATCTGGAGTTCTTGTCTAACCAGGGACGTCATCTATTCCGATTATTGGTATGGGCAAAACACATCAACTACTTCAGTCTTTCTCGGTCCAGTGTTCCGAGCCCACCACTATCATCTTTTCGTTGAACCCATTAAGTCTCCAACTCTAATGCAAGTACATTTCATCACCTAAACAACATGTGTTGGCCGTGTGAATTCTTAGTACACAAATTGAAGTCGACCGTTCTTGCACTTGTACTCTTGCATCTGACCACGTGGTGATTAGTTTTCAGTGGTGAACTCTTTCCTATCACCTAATTTGTTGATGAAAGATAACACATTAATAGTACATATTCACATTCTCATATTGAGCGGCGCAGCCCGTTACGCTTTCTCCGAAAGCGCACCCTAGACACATCATTTAGCTCACCATCCCCCCTCCGTCACATCATGGATGAAGCAGACAAAAGCTTTTTTACACGTTTCTCATTCTCTTCACAAGTTACAATGATCCGTTTTAGGCAAGTGCTCCGTTTAAGTTCGGTTGGTGGGCGAGTGGCTCTCGGCGGGTGTCATGGACGATCGGGGACGTTCCACTCATTACTGACAACCTGAAGCTTCGCACACAAATCTTCATTGTCGTTATATAGCTTGCACGCGACCCACTTTGTGCCTGCTTTCCTCTGCCTCTTTGCACTTTCTCTAACGCTCCATCGAGACCGAGTTGCAATTGTTGACGTGGGCCACCTTCAACGATTGCATCATATATTGTGCAGCGTTACAGCGAATCCTTATATATTGGAGCACTGAGATTGCAGCCTATACCCATTAACGTACTGGTTGTTATGGTCCGCTGCTTTCTCCTACTTTGAGCAGCTACATGCATACTTCAGTTCGCTGAGGCCTCGGCCATTCGCCGGTTGAAATCAAGTTTGTGCAAACAAATGGACTTCGTGACCAGCCTCGCCCTACTCTGATGAGCCTAGTGTCGTCTTTCCTCTGACCGGGTCACGTGAACTCACTGATTTTCTACCGCTTTAAATTTTCCATTACTCTTAAGTAGCAGGATTTTAGCTATACTTTTTAAGGTATTTATCCCAGTAGTTCACAAGCTATATAGCACAGCCTGGTCCGGAAAAGCACCAGACGCGTTTCGCCCTATTGGGGCTCGTCAGTGGTGCGCATTCCCTCGGTCCCCTACTGGGGATCGAACCCATGACTGCTAGAGGCAGTACCAACTAGCCAGCTGCTTGAACCACTGAGCCATGGGAGACGTTGGATGGGCTCCGTGATTTGCAAGTTAACTGGGATATAGCACCACTGACGAGCCCCAATAGGACGAAAAGCGTCTGGTGCTTTTCCGGACCAGGCTGTGCTATATAGGTTGTGAACTACTGGGATGAATGCCTTAAAAATTCCAGCTTTAAATTTTTGTCGATAACATTGCAACGTACTCGTCCTTGCCATGTAGTCTATCCATAAATTGTTTGTAAACAGCTGAGCAGAGCACACAAAATTACTGAATTCCGTATATCCTGTTAAACAGTGGTTTCTTCTTGCTCTTTTGAAGATACTCATTTATGTTGCCACTCATTTTAATGGCGACGCGTGGGTAGTCTCCTAATGCACATTCTATTTGTTACCGCACTCACTATTGCTGATCACCGTTAGCGTAGCACAAGTCTTATGACCGCAATGTCGCATCAGGTAACGGAACCGAAATAGTTGGACAATGGACAATGGTTTATTACGGGTAAAAAAGCATCGCTTAACAAGTCCCGTGGGATGGAAATTATTGCGAAAATCAATTGCATAATAAAGTGAAAAGCGTTGTGGTGGACTCACCATAGACTTATGTGGAATAGCGGAGATGTTCGCATATCAAACGTATAAATCCATAAATCCATTGGTTAGGCGTTTGGCAAGAAACCGTTTGATTGCGTTTTGTAGCCCCTGGCTAACAAGTCATAAAATGAAATGTAAGTGAGACAATGCATCGTCAACACGTTTTTTAAACATCGCCAGATTGGGAGCAGAGATGACATAATTAGGGAGGGCGTTCCAAGGCTCACACACGCGGAGAGAGAAGAAATTTCTACGGCATTCAAGCCGGCTATAATGAATTGTCAGTTTCAGAGGGTGACCTCTTAGTTTAGTGTTGTGGTTCAATTCCAGCAGCGGACGGCAAATGTGGTTTGGGTTCTTCAGAATCTGGTAAACCATTATGAGATCCCCCCGCAAAAGCCGATATCGACTACTGTACATTCTTAGAGATTTCAGTCTAAGCTGATAGGGCAGATGAAAGAGGCCCCTGACGTTCTTGGTTGCCCGTCGTTGAGGAGTCTCGAGAGCAACGAGATCCTGTTTCTGCCACGGCTGCCACGCCTGAATAGCATATTCCACGTGAGGTCGCACGTAGGCGTTAAGCATTTGGGGAAAGATTGAGGGTTCAAACCGACCGAAGGCTCTGCGAAGAAGGCCGAAGTGTTGATTTCCGGTTCTCCTCGCCTTCTCTGCTTGTTTTGAACACCCGAGATCTTCCTGTACCAATACACCCAGGTCACGCTCCTGAGAAACCTTCTCCAAGGTGTGGTCTCCAATCTTGTAAGCGCTCACCGGCTGGTGACGCAGATGCATCACTTTGCATTTAGCCATGTTCAATTGAAGCTTGTTCCTCCTTGACCATTCGTAAATGCAATCTAGGTCATGTTGGAGCAGATCCTGATCTGTCTTGTTACTAATCGCCCGCCATATCTTGACGTCATCGGCGAAAAGCAGGAAGTTTGAGGAGATGACTCTTGCCAGGTCGTTGATAAACACCAGGAATAAACGCGGTCCCAGTACTGAGCCTTGTGGCACACCACATTCCACCTCAATTGGGTTAGAAAGTGATCCCCTAACACGTACTTGAAGTTTTCGTTGGTAAAGGAAGTTGCCAATCCAACCAAGTACTGGATCTCCGATTCCGTAACTTTGTAGTCTTTGAAGTAGGATGCGGTGATCAAGGCGGTCGAAAGCTTTGGAGAAGTCCAGATAGATGACATCGACTCCGAACCCATCATCGGCCACTTCCGTCCAACTACCTCGTGCAATAAGTAGGTTGGTGGTGCATGACCGGTGTTGACGGAAGCCATGCTGTTCCGGTACCAAGATGTTGCATTTTTCCAGGTAGTCCATTAAAGCCTCAGCGACGACTGCTTCCATCACCTTCGCGAGCACAGGGAGGAGGGTCACTGGACGATAGTTAGCAGGATCGGAACGGCTACCGCCTTTAAAAATAGGGGTTATAATGCCACACTTCCACATAGTGGGGACTTGTTGTTCATCAAAGCACCTTTGAAAGAACTGTGACAGTGGTTCAGCTAGCTTGGTGGCCATAGCCTTCAGTGCCTTCGGGCGGATGTTGTCTGCTCCCGGAGAACTATGTTCACGCAGTGAGAGTAACTTCCTTAGCACAATTGATGGGTTGAAAATAACATTTGTAAACAAAGGTGTCGGTAATGTGCTTGATATTATGGGACAGGTAGATGTTGGGAGTTCAAAAATTGGGGCGTATTGCAGCCGCAGGGCATTAGCTGCTTCTTCGGCGCTTTGTACTCTACCGCCTGCCGTGAATAGTGGGGGTATTCCATGCTTCACTTTACGAAGCTTATTGACATGCTTATACAGCAGTTTGTTGTTTGCCATGAACTTTTTGGCTAGGCACTGTTGATAAGTTATTTTGTCCTCACGGACAAGTGCGGTGCAATGGTTTCGATGGGCCAGGAAATTTCCCCAAGTCTCTGAGTCGGGGTTAATCTTGTAGGCACGCCATGCTGCATCCCTTATCGCCAGGCATTTGCGAGTCCTACTCCTTATAATTGAAGGCATTTTCGCGGGACGACGGGGTTTGGTCTCTGATGCTTGGTTGACGATGTCGCTGAGCTTATTAACGAACTCTGCCCAAACGTTGTCAAGGGGACTTTTGTTTGAGAATTCCCAAGAAGCTGCGTCGGCGAGTTCTTTCAATACGTGGTAGCGTGTGATTGTATGAGTTAGTTCCGAGTGTTCAGATGGATACTCTGCATAACACACATAGTCAAAAGTTATTACTACGTGGTCACTGAGACCTAATGGACTATCCATCAATAACTTGTCAATCATGAGCTCTTCATTCGTGAGCACAAGGTCCAATATGGACGGTTTGTTTGCTGTCCTGAATCTAGTGGGCGTGGTGACGTAATTGTACAAAGGAATATTAGCGATCAGTTCCTGCAAGTCTGCTTTGAACTGCTCACTAGGCGATGCCGAAACCTCCAGATTGTGTAGATTGAAGTCCTCGGAGATGAGAATGTGGCTGTACCTAGTGCGTGTTACTCTGTTTAGGCCACGGATCAAGCAGGAATCCATTTCCAGAGTGGACGTTGGGGGGCGGTAAACGATAGCTATGAGACATGTATCGTTGTGTCTCAGTCGGAGACGGCACCAGAGTGAGTCGGTAACGTGTGTTTCCAGGTCCTCAACTATTGTACATTGTAGATTGCTGCGGTAGTAGAGTAGGACCCCACCTCCTCTGCTGGGGCGGTCGTTCCGGATGAGTGACATTCCGGCTATCTCAACCTCAGCATCAGTCACCTCTTGATGCAACCAAGTTTCGGTAATAGAAATTAGGTCCCAAGCTTTCGCAACCTGACGTAGTCGAAGTTCCTTAATTTTACTGAGGAGCCCTTGGGCGTTGGTGTACATACATGAAAGTTTCTCAGATTTAATCAATGTTTCAGAAGTTGTACAACTCATACGTGAAGTTTCGCCGACCAGTGAGTGGCCGGCGACTGGATGGGTGGATGAAGCAAATGAGTTTACGCCGACCATTAAAGGGTCGGCGACTAATCGTTTTTTGGATGGGTTGCGTACTCTAGAGAAGTATTTGATATATAAGCCGGTATCAGATGCTCTGAATCCCGGTGTTTGCTCGTGCTCTGCTCTGCCCCTC